CTGTTAAGAAGCAATAACGGTGCACTACGGAAGGTGAGTTTTGGAAAATAAAAACTTACTGACATGGTGAGTTTTAGACATTTTAAAAAGTTGTGGTGAGTTTAAGAGAAACATTGAAAACTCATGATGAGTTTTAGACAATTTCCCTATATTTTAAGATGAAGAAAAGCATTTATATCAGTGAAATGAAACAAAAATTTAAAGAAACTTGTTTTTCTACTGGTTTTAATTTGTTTGAAAAAAAATGAAGGTATTTCTGGGCCAATCAATTAGCAATTAAGAGAAAATGGTGAACAAAAGAAAATATGGAAAGTTCTCGTAAATATTTTGGTAATTTAGTGCATTCCATCATCAAATATAACCACCAGGGGCTATTTGTCTCAAAGGCTTAGTTTGAAAGGAATACAAATGCAAATATATAGAGTGAAAAACCTTGCTTTTTACATTATTTTGTATATATTTATATTATACATATTTATATTTTGTTGGAGGGATATTCAATTTACAAGAATCTCTCCCCTCCCTCTCTTGTTTTTTGTCATTTCCTCTTTCCACTATTGAATGATTCCTTATCTTATATTGTTTGGAAAATGAGTGGAAGTGGAGTATATTTGTAGTTTTGCTCTTTCTATGGGTACAAACCCATAGAATCATAGAATGGCCCAAAATCCCTAAACTGTATTAGAAACCACACTAAACAACAATTTACTAATCAGTTTGACTTCCATGCTAAAATAGTTTGGTTTGGTATGTGAATTTCTCAAACTACAATTTACTGGTTTGGTTTAAGATCTTCTCTAAGTCGCACCGAACCAGACCGTAAACATCCCTATGCAGAACATAATGGGCATAACTGCATAAGAATCAATATTCACCCCTCTTTTTTTTTTTTTTAGTGAAAACCCTCAAAGAAGCCACAATTTCAGCCGACATTTTACGTTTCGTATTTTTCCCAACATTTTCTTCATATTTCTCGTATAACCGAAAGAGGATTTATAAAAGGGTGTTCTTCGGTGTGACTGTTTTCCTTTTTCTTATTTTTCGTTGTGAGTTCTAAAAAAACAAATTAAAATCATCTGGTTTGAAAACAAACTGTTTCTTAGAATAAAAATATGGAAAACATGTCCTTAGTTGTAAATGTGTCTTTCGTTTTTAAAACTAAAACAAAACACATTTTTATGTAATTTAAATCATACAATATTTCTCATCATCTTTCAATAAACATACAAACGTAAACTTTTTTTTTTAAAAAAGAAAAGCAATATATTTTTACTTCTCAAAACAAAAACACTAATCAAAAACAAAAACATTTACGTTATAAAACACCCCTAAGGGTGTCAATTGAGTCCCCTGATTTTATAACTTTAAAAGTTAAATGCTTTCTTTTCTTATTTAGGCTTTAGAGTCCCACGGCAACCGCCGCACAGAGCACTAGTTTAAAAGCTCAAACTTGACATTATTATTAGTGTGAGAATGTTGACTTCAAGGTCCCATACTACTACATAATGTTTAGGCCCCTATGAAAGGTCACATTCAACTCACTTTAATTTACAACCATACAAGAACTTTGTATACATGGGACTAATGGCATGAATGAACTCTATAAGGGACCACCTATATATGGACCTTTCAAACAGGATTCCAAAGGGAAAACACAATAGAGAATATAAATCTTTTCTTTTAGGTTCTTCAACCTTTAAACAAGTTCCCGACACTATATCTTTGGTGTCGTTAGAAAAGATAGCATTTTTGTGTCCCAAGGGTCATATGGCCACCGTTATCCATCTATTTTTAAAATACATACATACATATATACATATACATAAAAAAGTTACTATTCTGCATCATTTATACGCCCTGCATTATCTAAGAGATGCATGCAAATTAGCCAAAATACAAATTTCACTCTGTCACACAGAGAGAGAGAGAGAATGGCTCAAGTGAAGAGTTGTAAGGGATACAGAACATAACATGAGCTGAATCAGATGGCTTTACACCCACAACTTGTATTGGCATAAGGGACCCCTACAAGAAAAGCAAATTCCCAGACCTGGCAAGTGTTCCATTTGAGAAATTGTTCAAAAACTTAATTTGTAACAATGAGAGTCAGGTGCAATCATAGAGCTAATCTGGAATCAAACAACTTCCTGGTCCTGCTGGTGTCGAGAAAGGTCACAACACCATGCATGAACTATAGATAAGTATTGATTTAAAAGATAGCTATCGTATTTTCCACTGAGACAGTAAATCAGCAACTAGGCAAATAAGTAATGTCGTCTTTTTGGATTCATTCATCTTTGGTTCAATAACAATACGAGCTTTTTCTCAGGGGCGGAGTTAGGATTTTCTTTTGAGGGGGGCAAAAAGTAATAAACATGGATGGGGAGCAAAAGTTAGTAAATATAGGTAGGGGACCAAAATATAGATAAGGTTAAAATGGGTATTGTAGGGATTTTCAAAGCATACAGGGGGCCATGGCCCCCCTCTGCCACCCCCTGGCTTCGCCCCTATTTTTTTCCACGGTTTTCAAAACTGGATGGTCAGATCAGAAAAACCCGGAACCGGTTAGGTAACTGGCTCAATTTTACCCCAAAACCGTTATTTCATCAAAAACCGTTAATTTAGTCAATAGATCGCTGGTTAGGGCAGTTGAACTGTTCGAATTGATCTTGCACCGACATCCGCAGTAAGTGAAGTTAAAGCAGAAGCAGCAGCTGAAGCAACTGGAGAAGCAGCAAGAGCAAGAGTCAAGCTGGATCGCTCATTCCAACATCAACAGGTGATTCATCTGTTCGATTTAAACGGTCAGACCGTTTGACCAAAAAATCAGGCCCCTGACCAGTTTATTGTCCGATTCAATTATAAAAACCTTGCTTTTTCCAACCATTTCTTTTACTTATATGCTTTCGCTGATCCAAGTGGGATCTGCAGAGAGGTGTTTGTGACACCGCTAGAACAAATGCTAAGCTTACTAACAAGATGAGGTTTAGGGGGTGATTACCGATGAAAATTTGCTTTCAGATGCTTTAAATTTAAAGAGCTCCTTTTTGGATGCTCATTAGATATTTAGATGTATGGATGGATCCCAAATACGTAGTCACTATTATTACACCGTTAACGCATAAATACAATACACAAATGAATAAAATAAAAATAAGCGAGATTCTACCTCTACGTGTAACGTGTAACTAAACTAAAGACACATACATCCATGCCCAAATGCAGAAGGAGGATACACATAAATAAAAATGCATGCACCCAAACCAAATTGAGGTTCATGCACTTAAGAGAGAAAAGGACATAGGCCCCAACCAAGAGTTGCCTCCGACTCAAGTTGCTGGGTTAGGAATTAGGATTATGATAATGATTCTATACGAGTTGAGGCTCCGCAGCTGGAGTTGTTGTCCAATGAACCGACAAGTATCATCCCTTTTAATAATCCGCTTGTTAAAATATACAACCCGACAATTTTGGCCTTACAAACACAACCCCAGTCATCCTCCAACCAAATGCATCATCATTCCTCGTTCCTCCAAATATGCCAACATCATAAAACCCTGTTCCTCAGCTGGAAAACTATAGGCGAAAATATGAACTGGGTGGGGTTAGATTTGACTATTTGAGGTGAATTAATTATAATCCATCTCAACGTATTAAAGCCCTATTACTCTAACCTAACCCCCTCTCTCTCAGATCCTTCATCCTCAGCAAAGCCAGCCTACCCCAATCCAAAATTCCAAATCAGTCGTTTTTAAGCATGTTGAATACACGCCTTCATTTTCTAATTGGTGTCAACCAAGAAAATAGGTCCAACTCGGGACGAGTTAGATCAGATTTAGGTTGGCCACAGCCCAACCCTTCCTGCTAAGCCTGCTCCTATAGTAACCCGATTTTCAACCCATTATTCTCAGCTCTAATCCAGGCCGCCGCTAATCTTGTATTAATGTGCACATGGCTGAGAAGATGCACAAACATCCCGCCTAACTCTCATGTTTTCAGACATCCTGAGGCACGTTAGTGTTCATTTTAGGACCGCATATACGTATCTTTCCTAGTTTTGTCAAAGAGAAAGCTCCGTCGTCGTCGTCATCATATTATTCACACAAGTCAAAAACTTGGGCCGGGTTGGCCCGAACCCAACCCAAAAAAGTTAGATTGGGTTGGGTCAGGTTGATGTTCAGGTTAGGGTTAGGGTTGAAATTAATGAGCCCGATTTTACTTCAGATTGGGTTAGGGTTGACCCCTTAGCCAACCCGACTCAATAATATATGTTATATATAATATATAATATACATTGATTAATTTGTTTAGATGCATGATATTTGTATAGCCCCCACCACATAGTATCATGTATTTCTTTTAAGATAATCACTTCACTTAATCCTAATCAAAAAGACTAAAACCTTAATAACATTATTTTATGTTTTTTTGAAAATTTTAATCTTCATCTCCTCTATGTTGCTTGCCACCCAAGAAAGATCTATCGTAACCCATAACTCATAATAAACTATAGTCATTTCTAACACTTGTTTTTCTGAATTTTCTACCAAAAGAACAAAGAAAAAAACGTCAACAAACAAATACTAATGAAAAATAGGATTAATATATGTAATGAAAGTTGAGTTAAGATCTAAAATTGAGAAATTCTATGTGGTTTTAAGGGATGGAAAAAAGGTTGGGTTGGGTTAGGGTTGAAGGTATTTAGTTAGGGTTGGGTTGGTCGGGTTGAAGGTCGGGTTGGGGTTTAAAACTTAGGGTTGGGCTAGGGCTGGCCTCAACCCGACCTAACCCGGCCCAACTTGCAGCCTACACACTGCGGGCATAAAGAGGGCATATATGTCCTTTATTCTCACTTCAGAAACTACCCACTCATAACTATTCAGAAACTACCCACTTATAAGTTATAACCGTATAAAAACTGCCCATGATTTATAAATAGTTTTGTCTTAGAGATATTGCTACGTGCAAATGCATGTACACGTTTACTAGTAGTAGAAATGTGTGAATCACATCCAAGGTCGGATTCAAGAATCGAGATCAAAAATCCGTGTAACTAACTACAGCCAAGCTAAATAAACTCCACGTGTTGTAATAGAGTTGTTGGCCAATAGAGGGAAATTCAGGACAACAACTATCAACTCCTTGGTGAGTGTACAAGTTCTTGTAGCGGCAATCTGTCGTTTTTCAAATATAAAAGTTTTGCTTTGGCCTGGGCCAAAATCAATGAACCACCAAGATGCCTAAAACGTTATCTGCATTTATAAATCACATTTTGCAAACAAATGACTATAAAAAATCAAGGCCAACTAAAAGATATATTCTTAGAGCATCATTCTTCTAGCTTTGAGAAGGTGTTCTGTATCAAATTTTGATGCATCTGCAGTGGATCATCCACAAGCAAAATTAGATTGCGAAAGGAAAGGACACGACAAAGACTACCAGAGATAGCGAGATACCATCAATGAAACAAGACTTTCATGAGTTTCAACATGCTTCTTAACATTGACCAAATCCAAAAAAAAAGGGAAAAAGGAAATACGAGGTACAGAACAGATTTCATTGTCCTTTCTTTTGTAAAAAAAAAAAGTTACTGTTAAAGTCATGCTTAAATAAAGATGCAAACTCTATGAAATTGAAAGGCAAACAACTCACTCAAGCACTCGAAAATATATTTGCATGGGCGAACTTGCTAATATGCAATTCAAGAGGTTGTTATCGTCAAGTTTGAATAATCTTTGCAACCTGGACCAGAAAACCAAGAAAAGCATCAAGTATAATTCACAGGAATACGAGTCTTCCACAAAACAACACAGATGAGACCCTCCAGATGATTGAGATTTTTTATCAGTAACGAAAGGAATAGATAAGAATAAGAAAACCCCTGGTCAGCCAAAAAAAAGCACCCTCCATACCCCCAAAAACCTATCTCTGGAGATCCATGCCTAATATAAATCATGCCTCTCTACACCCCACTCTTCATAGTGTGTCCACATAGATATTGCATTAGTAACCCTGAATTTTAATTTTATTACGGGTGAAAAAGTGAATATACAGCCAAGGATTGCATACCAATATCATGTAGCAACAAAATTCCAAAATGGCATCATCTACTTTCAAACGATCTTATGTTATAAGAAGTATTAGGACTTATTGAAGGCTTTACAATACTACTTATAATACTGTGACCTATTAAAGGCAGATGTTATGAAAATCTTAGAAGAATTTCATGACAAAGCTGCCTTAGAGCACATCTTGAATGCCATTTTCATTTCCCTAATACTGAAGAAAGACAGCTGCTGAATTAAAGGACATTCATCCTATAAGTTTGATTGGAAGTGTATATAAATTATTTGCTAAGTTGCTTGCAAGCTAGGCTGAGGAAGGTGATGGACTCTATTTATCTGTCTGTCAGGGGGCATTTGTGCACAATAAGCACATTCATGATGGGGTCCTTGTAGCCAATGAGCTAATTGATTATTGAAAATGGAGCAGCAAGAATGTGGCTGTGTCAAAGATTGACTTTTGAAGTGAACAACAACAGGTCCAAGATAGCTCTTCTCCAGTTTGCCGATGACATACTCTTCTTTGTGATGCCAAAATGGATCAAGCTGTCCATCTAAGATACCATCCAGTAATCGAACCTCAAGAGTCCACTTTGGTGATGTGCCTAAAACGGCTCTTTGACTACAAAGGGGTGATTCAAATTTGTATGTTGCCCTTTGGACTCATTACTAACCATTCAAACTTTCTGTTGCTGATGAATGATATTTTTAGTCCATACATGTAGTGGTCTGTTTTGACTTTCATCGATAATGTCATAGGGTACAACTCCAATTGGGCCCAACACTTGGAGTTGTACCCTATGAGGTTATTGAAAAAGAAAAAAAAAAAAAAACAAGAGAAACCACCTGATGTATGGACTAAAAATATCATTCATCAAAAACTGAAACAGGGAAGGGGCATTAATGAGCAATATTTTAAAATGCGGAGGCGTGATGCGAGGCATTCCACTACCTAGAGGCGTGAGGCGTAGTTCAGAACGCAAGAGGCGTAAGCCTCCCAAACACAAGGAGGCGTAAACCTCCTTAAGAGGAGGGGGGTTAGGAGGAGGAAGGGGAGGAGTACGCCTTCCCTTTTCCTTTTCTTTCCTTTTCTCTTTTTTTTTCTTCTCTTTCCTTTTCTCTTTTTTTCTTCTCTTTCTTTTTCTTTCCCTTCCCTTTCCTTTCCTTTCCTTTCCTTTTTTTTCTTTTTTTTTCTGTCTTTTTATATAAGATGTGCATGAGGCACATGAGGCGTACGCCTCTAGCACGCCTCATGAAAAAAACGCACGAGGCATACGCCTCTTGCACCTGAGGCGTACGCCTCAAAGGTGTCAGCGCCTCTAGCATACGCCTCAGGGCGTTTTGGGAGCGCCTCTAGGCGTACGCCTCCCACGCCTTTTAAAACACTTGAGTCCAATGGGCAACACAAAAAATTTGTAGTACCCTCAGTAGTCCTAAACCTATTTTAGCCACATAATCATAGTGAGCTCTTATTTAATAGTGACCCGAACTCATGTACAACTCAAAAAATACTATTACAACACGTAACTCATTCAACAATTGATCCACTATATATTACTGGAAATCAGTCTTCCACTGTAATATATCGAGGGCAAGGTACACTATGCAAAACCTCCAAGTACGATGTTTCTTCTGGACTTGCAAAATAGCTGATCTGTAGGGACTGGTTGAATACTTCAGCCAGTAAGTATGTGGAAGGGCTTGCAAAATAGCTGGTTGAATACTAGAATCGAAACGTAAGAGATTGCATCTCTTACCGATGCAATCTCTGGACGATGAATTTTGATCTATTCAAAGGTGTCTCAGTCAATGACCTCAACAGAGATGCTTACTCTTTCTTATTTCTCCCTCACCACCACCAGTCATCTTTGAGGGTTCCTGAACCTATTAGGGAAGGTGAGATGATATTGAATTTTGATGGAAGTGCTTTAGGTAATCCTGGATTAGCAGGTATTGGAGGAACACTAAGGGATGAAAGGGGGAACATCTATTGGACTTTCAGTGGCCCAATAGGCGTGGCAGATTCCACAAAGGCTGAAGTAATGGCTGCCCTCACAGGAATCAGAATAATTAAAAGCTTGGGAATTCAACATATCACAATAGCAGGTGATTCAGCAAATACTATAAAATGGTTAAGAGGTAAAGAGGGGGGGGGGGGGCCTTGGAGATTAAGTCACTATTTAGATGAGGCCAGAGACTCCTTGGACTGCCTAAATGTAAAGTTAGTTTGGATTCCTAGGGAACACAATCATACAGCAGATGGCTTAGCTAAATGTAGTGTATTCTTAGAGCAGCTATATAGCGACAAGCTTCCTCCATTGTAGTTTGTAGGGGTTCTTCCCCTGCGTTGTAAATCTCCTCATGTACCTATCTTTTTATTAATGAATCTTGGTTAACATTTCTCAAAAAAAAAAAAAAAAGAACCCTACAGGATCCAATGCGCCATACTTCTATTGCTGGCTTGTTCAGCAAGAGGCCAAAAATTCCCAAACCTTCTACTTCTTCATTAAAGTGGACTTTTATTTAATTGTGACCCAACCTCAAGTCCAGCACAAAAAATACTATAACGACCCGTAACTCATCCACCAAAGTACTAGAAGTCGGTTTTGCACCGTGATATATTGAGGGCATGGTACTCTATGCAGAACCTCCAAGTGTGATGTCCCTTTTGGAATTGCAAAATAGAAGATCAGTAGGGACCAGTTGATGGTTGAATATGTCCCTTAGCTAGGAGCTCATCCACTAACTTCTCAGTTTTGGACTTCGAACAATGTAGATAACTTTATGGCCTTGAGTTAATGGGTGTAGCTGATAGGACAATGGCAATTTGGATCTTAGCATCATGTAAGAGGGAGATCTTAAGGATCGACAAAAACGTCTTGGAACTTCTATCTTAAGAGTCTCATAGAGCGTTCCTAAATCTCTTGTGAATATTTCAGCCACTAGAATCAAAATGTAAGTATGTGGAAGGGTTGAGAAGTGGGCATTTTCTTATCAGCCACTGTGACCAGTCCAACCAATTTGTCGTTTGAAGAGGAAGAGCATCGACATAACCCACATTGATTTCTTCCCATAACAGCAACATGACTTGAGAGGTTGAAATAACCCTACAGGATCAAATGCGACATACTTCTTATTGCTGGCTTGTTCAGCAAGAGGCCACACATTCCCAAACCTTCAACTTCTCCATTAAAGTGGACTCCTATTTATTTGTGACCCCGGCCTCAAGTCCAACACAGAAAAAACTAATACCACCTGTAATTCATCCACTATAATACTGGAAATTGGTTTTGCACCGTGATATATTAAGGGCATGGTACTCAATGCAAAACCTCCAGTTGTGTTGTTTCTTCTGGAATTTGAAAATTGGAGATCAATAGGGACTGGTTGATGGTTGAATATGTCCCTTTGCTAGGAGCTCATCCACTAACTTCTCAAATTTGGACTTCTAATAATGGAGATATCTTTAAGGCCTTGAGTTAGTGGGTGGAGATGATAGGACAATGGTAATTCGGGTCTTGCCATCATGTACAAGGGAGATTTTAAGGATCAATAAACACATCATGGAAATTCTACCTTAAGAATCCCATACTGCTTTCCTACATCTCTTATGAATATTTCAGCCACTACAATTGAAATGTAAGTATGTGGAAGGGCTGAAAAGTGGGCATTTTTTGTCAACAGCTCCACTATGACCAATCAAACTGACATGTCGCTTGAAGGGGAAGACCTTATAAGTAATCCACATTGATTTCTTCCCATAATAGCAACAGGATCCAATGTGTCATACTTCCATTGCTGGCTTGTTCAGCAAGAGGCCACAAATTCCCAAACATTCTATTTTTCATTAAAGTGGACTCTTATTTAATTGTGACCCGACCTTAAGTCCAACACAGAAAATACTATTACCACCCATAATTTATTCACCAATTCATCCACTACAGTACGGGAAATCAGTTTTGCCGTGTGATATAACGAGGACATGGTACTCAATGCAAAACCTCCAGTTGCGTATTTTCTTCTGGAATTTGAAAATTGGTGATCAGTAGGGACAGGTTGATGGTTGAATGTGTCCCTTAGCTAGGTCCTCATACATTAACTTCCCAATTTCGAACTTCGAATAATGTAGACATCGTTATGGCCTTCAGTTAATGGTGGAGCTGATAAGACAATGGCAATTTGGTTCTTACCGTTATGTTGGAGGGAGATCTTAAGAATCAACAAAACGTCATGGAAATTGTATCTTAAGAGTCCCACACAGCTTCCCTACATCTCTTATGAATATTTCAGCCACTGGAATCAAAATGCAAGTATGTACAAGTGCTGAAAAGAAGGCATTTTTTGTCAGCAGCTCCACTGTGACCAATCCAGCTGATTTGTCGTTCGAAGGGGAAGACCATAGGCATAATGCACAGTTCCACACTGATTTCTTCACATAACTGCAACAGAACTTGAGAGATTGAAATACCACTATAGGATCCAATGCGCCATACTTGTATTGATGGATTGTTCAGCAAGAGGCCACAAATTCCCAAACCCATAACTCATCCACCAATTCATCTACTATAGTACTGGAAATCAGTTTTGCACCGTCATATATCGAGGGCAGGGGACTCTATGCAAAACCTTAAAGTGCGAAGTTTCTTTTGGAATTGCAAAAACCTTATAGTTGGAAATCGG